GGGGGGGGGGATAAACTGGAAGTATGAAGATATTTGAAGATGATGATCTAACAAGCAGGAAAAGAGAAGTACAAGGAAAAATAAAAGAAAGAGAGAAGGAAGAAGGAAACCACGGAAACAAAACGAAAGTAGAGTACAGAGAACTGTGGATAGGGGAGACACTATGGAAATGGGACGATTGGAGGGGGGAGCTAGTAGGGGAACCAAAGAGAACGCAAGAAAGAGCAACAGGAAGAGGATAGGGGGGAAGAGGGAGACGATATGGAGAGAGAGGGAAGAGGGAAAAGGGAGCAAATGAGAGAAAGACAAGCGTGAGGGAGTCAGCGCAGAAGGAAGGGACGGATATTCTATTCTGGAATGTTACGGGGGTAAACAATAAAGATGAAGAATGCTGGAAATATATGTGGAGGCACGAAATAGTATACTTGGTGGAAACGTGGCTGGAGGAAAGCGAATGGCAGGAGTGGAAAAAGAAGCTACCGAGAGAATACCGGTGGCAAGAAAGGGGTCCAAGAAAGAAAAAAGAAGGGAAGAGCCAGGGGGGGATGATTACAGGGGTCAGGGAAGAAATGGAGGAAAAGGGGGGAAATCCGCAAAGGAAGGAATAATGCAAAGTAACAGTGTAGATGTATCTTCTTGTAAGAAGAATTGAGAATATGGATGGTGTACAAAAGGAATGAGGAACTGAAGAGACTGGACCAAGAAATAAAGGAAAGACAGGAAAAACTGTTACTGATGGGGGGGAGCTCGAATGCGAGAATAGGAAATAAGAGAGGACAGATGTGGGTCGAGAAGCGCGGAGAAACGGAGAAGAGAAAGTTGAGGGACAAAATATTTAACAAGGAAGAAAAAGAAATGATAAAATTATTGGAGGAGAGGGGAGGGACGGTATTGAATGGAGACAAGCCGAGTGACGAGAGTGGAGAATGGACCTATGAAAAGACAAGGAAGAAATCAGTGATAGATTACGGAATAGTAAATAAGGAAGTCTGGGAAAGAGCGGAGAGAATTGAAGCGTGTTGCAGAATAGATTCGGATCACAAACCAATAACGGTAAGGATAAGAGAAAAAACAAAAAGAATAGAGAGGAGAGAGGAGACAGGAATTGTGCAGGACTGGACGGAAGAAGGAATTGAGTAATATAGGTACAGGATAAGGCATAAAGTGGAGGAAATTACGCCGACAGAAATGGACACACAAATTAAAATATGGCTGAAGATATGGAAAATGGCGGGAGCTGATGGACTGAAAAACGAAGTGTGAAAGTATGGAGGGGAAGGGGTGAGGGTGAAGCTAGCAGAGGCACTGAAGAAAGTATGGAGAGGGGAGGACTACCGAGAAGAGTGGAATGAGGAAGTTGTCACACCCATATTTAAAAAAGAGAAAGTGGAGGAGGTAAGGAACTATAGGGGGTACCGATAACGAAGGGATAGTGAAGGGCGGAGAGGAAAAGAAAGTATGAGGGAACACACATGCGGGATTTAGGAGAAGTAAAGGAACGATGGATAATATATGCATTCTAAAGTAGGAAGAAAAATAGGGAAAAAAGACGGATAGGTATACAGATTATCAGTGGACTTAAAGACAGCATTCGACACGATAGATAGGGCGAAGTTGTGGGAGGCGATGAGGTAGAAAAAAATAATGAAAGGGCTGATAGAGAGGGTAAAGAGGATATATAAGGAAACGGAATACAGAGTGAGTATGGGGGATAGGGAGGCAGAAGAATTTTTGACGAACAAGGGAGTGAGACAGGGGTGTCCACTTAGCCCAACTCTGTTTAATATATATATATATATATGGCGGACCTAGAAGAGGAGCTGAGAAAAGGTGGAGGGGGAGTCAAGATAGTAAATAGGAGAACCTGGTCACTGAAGTATGCGGATAATGTCGTGCTGTTCGCAGAAGAAGAAGCTATGAAGGAAATGATGAGAAGGCAAGAGAGGTACTTGAACAGGACAAAGTTAGAGCTGAACGTGGAGAAAACGAAAATGACGGTGTTTCGAAAGGGTGGAGGAAGAAAGAAGAAGATAGACTGGAAATAGAAGAAAGAAAGCATAAAAAAGGTACAGGAGTTCAAATATCTGAGGTATATAGTGAGAAGAAACAACGGGGGTAGAGACCGCGCGAAAGAGAGAGTTAGCAAAGCAGAAATAGCAATGAGAGGAGTATGGGGAATATGGAGAAAAGAAGTTTAAGGCGGATACTAAATGGAGTATGAAGCTCTTCGACGCAATAGTAGGCGGAATAGTGGCTTATGGGGCTGAACTGTGGAGCTGGAAGGTCCGGGACGAGATAGAGAAACTAGAGGAAAAGTACATGCGATGGGTTTTAGGGCTGGATAGTAGAACAGGATATACATATAGTGAGCGAGGAAATGAAGAAAGAAAACAAAGGAAGACAGATGGCACTAAGAACAATGAAATGGGAAGCAAAAATTAGGAAAGGGGAAGGAAACAAGCTGCTACAAAGGTGCTGGGAAGAAAGGAAACGGGATGAACAAAAGAAAGTAGAAACAGTGTGGGAGAAATAACGTGAGAAGCATGGGACAGAGGAGGAAAATATTCAAAGATGGATCGAGAAAGAAGTGGACTGGATAGAGAAGGTCAGAAATAGAGAGGAGGAAAATAGAAGATTGATAAGGGAAAACAGGACGCAATGGATTAAGGACATAGCGAGGATGAGTTGTGGGTGTGAAAAAAGGTCGAATAGGTACTGGATGGAGAGAGAAAAAGCGGGATGTTGACTATTCACAGATACAGTGGAACATGTGGCGAAAGAGTATGAAGAAATCAAGAGATGGGAAGGAGAAGTGAATGAGATTATTGGGATGAAGGGGGAAGGGTACGAATGGATTATGGAATGGAAAAAGAGAAATAAGAAGGCAGAGGAAGAGGATAAACGGTTGGCGGGGAGACAAGAAAGGTCGCAGGAGGACAGGAAAAGGAGAGAAATAGGGAAGGAAAGAGGACAACAAAAGAGAGGGAAAGGAGATAAAAAGGGAATGATACAAAAGAAAATGTATTGTAAATTAGGAAAGGAAGCCATGTAATGTCTTAGGGCGAACATTCATAATAAATAATAATAATACATCCGAAAAACGCACGAAAATAGATCGAAAAAGAAAAATATCACTTTTTGTTGTAAAGTTTAGATACAATTTAGATCAAAATTTGATAACATGTCCGGTACTTGAACACTATTTGTTTCATCTGTCTGACAATCAATAGATATTTCTACTTACGTTACTGTTTACAATCGTGGACAATGGTATAATGTCATTTATGTTCCACAATAATTGCATACAAACTTATATTTGGAAAAGTAGTAATTGCTAGTAAGAAACACATTAATTACGGTATTGGAAAGAGCCAGACTAATTTTCCGATTCGATGTATATTACTACCATGCCTTGTACATTTGTGACGTATAAAATAGTTTGTCTTAAAACAATGAGCCAGCAGAAAAACTTCAAATATTAGCAAATCATGCCGTGTGTGATGTTGTTTCTTACGCTTTCAGTACAAAATGTTAATAGATACGTACGTTTATTAGTATATCGTAAAACTATGAAAACAGAAAAAATATTTATATCAACAAGCTTCAAAAGTACTACTTCAGAAAAGTTGACTTTCTGAATATGAATTTCTAACAAATACCCAGAATTACTCGATGCAGACCTTTACATCACGACAGTCAAGTATTTCGTCCATATGTATGGAAACTTGACTAGATTGTAGATACAGGTAATCTCTGTATAAAATGTTAGTTAGGTTCCTAGAAATAATAAACATTAGAGTCCACTGGATATGTAAACCAAATCTGTACAGGGTGAATTGTGCATATCAAATTCATGGGTACAACACATCCACCTTATGAAAATTGCGATAAAATACAAACCATTTAATTTTATGAATTATTCTGTTATTAAGCCACTAAATAACTTCTAACGTATGCATTGTATGACAAAATTTTGTATACAGAAGTTGCATGGTTTGGAGGGATACATTATGTATATAATTTTCTTAGAAGTGGAGGCGTTCCGGAGATTTCCAAGTCAACTCCGGTATTTTAAATGGAATGCTATATTTTGTATGTCAAAATATGGAAGAGTGTTGAATTCTGAGTAAAGAAGTATTAACCTTTATTAACTCTGAACCTAGTAATTCAGGAATAATTTCACCCCGTTTCTTGAAAATGTACTGTGCGTAATATTTCGTTTCGGATAAATTTCGGCATACGTAGCTATAGCTTTTATTGCATTTTATGCAATTAGCTTTTATGCTCCAACTTGATATTACACACAGTACAGTTTCAAGAAACGAAGTAAAATTATTCGTGGTATATGAGGTTCAGAGCTAATAAAGGTCAATACTTTTGTGCTCAGAATTCAACACTCCTTAATATTTTAGCACAGAAAAATATAACATTCCATTTAAAATGACGAAGTTGACCTTGAAATCTCCAAAACACCTCCAACTACAAAAAAATGATATGCACTCCATAATGTATTCTTCCAACGCATGCAACTTCTGCATCAAAAATGTTTTCATATAATGAATACTTTAAAAGTTATTTAAGGTATGCAAGTTGCGTGGACCACCCTGTATATATGAATTTGCAAGGAAGGAATATACAAAGCCACATGCAATTATTTCATTATACAAAAAATAAATCTAAGAATAGATATTCAATTGGGTATAAAATATCCACGTTATGCATCCTAGGGTTAATAACAAACTTTGTGATTCAAGTTGCTACACTTCTGTCCTTTGTGAAGCTCTGACCAAAAGATTAAACACATTTAGTACCTAGAATAACAAAAATGTGAATCTCCAAATTATAAATGTGAATATTCCTTGAAATTCCAACAGCGACTTAATGAAGATCTGTATCGAACGCGTGAAGTAAATATTAATTTTATTCGTTTCAGAATTTGGTACATGGGTCTTTGTTGGATCCTACGAGGCCTGAAACGGCAACAACAACTAACGGATCGTAGATCACGATGGTTGAAAGAAAAATACCTTCAGCTTTATTTTGAAGAAGGTGGCCTGGAGCCAATGACGGCGGACGCTATAAGGGCTTTCGGCGGCCGTGACTGGTCCACGAATGAAACTATCGGAACACTTTCACCAACGAGTAGCACTCTTCGCAAACGAAACGTTAAGGGAAAAAAAACGAAATCTATAGGCAATATACATGCATTAACAAAGGTTTGTACATTGTACATTATATTTCACCGGTAACGTTATTGTTCTAGAATAGAACGAACATTTATTTGATAGTTGTAGTTACTTTTAAGGGGGTATATAGGTATTTCGGTTTCAAAAACTCGAAATTTTTTTTTTCGATTATTTATGAAAGCCTTAAGAATGTTTTTAAACAAAATTTCATTGAAAAGTTCGCAAAATTACGGAAGTTACAGCGTAGGGAGTGACGGCGGGACTAATGCAGTTACACATGTATCCAAATCTTTAAAGCCGTTTTTTTCAAAACGGTGAACATCATAATTTGAGAACGGATCGATACTTTTTGCTGTAATTTGAAGTGAACCTACAAAACACTTTTGCCCACAAAGTGGAACTTGCTTATTAAGATAGCATGACAATAAACAATTTTATTAAACATTTCCCCCAGATTTATGTCAGGAAAAACGTTCAAAGTTGATATTTGTTGTATAATTCCAAGCATTTTTATTAAAATTTTTCGACCAAGTTCCACTTTGTTAATTTTGTGTTTTAAGAATTACATTTACAACAATTTTTCCTTTAGATGAGTCGTTCAATGAGAATCGTGTTCATCACATCGACTCGCACACTACGCAAGCACTCACTTTGATGTGTCGTGTTTAAATTAATTTGTAATATTTAGTGAATTTTCCTGTTTTAAAATACATATTACCTCCCTATGAAAGAATTGTTAAAAGAGCAAATGGTTGGAGTTATTACTCGCTCTACAATCGAATTCAAAAGAAACTGTTCATTTCAGTTGTCTAATACTTATGTACTCCCTTAAACATTCACTTACAAATGTTCTGCGCTTCTTTTACTGTCCATTTTATTGAAATTATTTGTGGTGTCGGAACTTTTCTATTTCAGACTCGTGATTGTTTAGAAAAGCTTTTTATTAAAGAGAGTTTTTGTCTCGTGTGTGAGCGGATCAACGCCAGATTCACACTAGCGGTCAAAGGCATGGTCAGATCACGATCAATCTGAATTTAGCCTATACTTCTCTCATTGAATTACGTGTGAGCGATAAAAACCGCTTCCGGATTTAACGTGATCTGACCGTGCCGTGACCGTTAGTATGGATCTGCCTTAATAGTCACTGTATCAGCACAACCTATAAGCTCTAAGCTATAACATAGACACTTCGGCGCCAAACTGTTGTCAAGCCTGAAGTGCGCCGTGCATGCTGCGTGAATGCGACGAAAGAATGCGTTATTGAAGGACAGTCGATCATAAAGGCAGGGCTACACACATGCAACGCGCATTGCAGAACACTCTTGAAAGGGTCAATTTTAATGGGTCGACGCACAATGAACAACTTCCAAGCCGAGTACGAACATTCTGAACGCATCGTAGAAAATATCAGAAGGAATGTCTGTTTGTTGCCATGCGTACCTAGGGCTGCCATCCATCCGGGTTTCGCCGGATTTGTCCTCTTTTTTTTTTTAGGGCGTCCAGGCACGTCTGAGGGGATTTTCTGTAATGATCCAGGGTTTTCAATGTTGCTCGCTTGCTCACTCCGTTGCCCAGCGTGTCAGCCTCCTTTTTTTATCGTATTTTAATTATAAGTTAAGTCTGCGTATTTTATAAATTATTTTATGTCACAAATAGATTCCTACTTTGTACAACTATATTTTATCTTTATTTCTTGATTGCGGTTACAGTCTATAATTTACAGAAATTTTTGTCTTGGGATATCGTATCCAATATGAGAAATAGTTGAAAGCGTCCACATTTCAAGTGGAAATATCCGGGATTTTAAATTTTAATGCCTATCGGAACATTAATTACTATATTAAAAGAAAGAAAATTATATACCATGTATTATATTATGATATAATTATTTATGGACCCTTTTTGAGGGTTTCAAGTGGAAATTCGATTGCACGTTGCTCACTGTCGCACGTGTGTAGCCCTGATTTAAGGTATAAAGACGAAAGATAGTGTATGTGTTATTTGTATTTTATTTTATTTTTATTTTATTTTCCTAAATGCACAGATGTTAATATGTGGCCTTTATCATAATACAGGGGCAGAGATGGGCAAATTCATTATCTAGATGAAGAGTTTCGAATAACAAATAAAAGATAAAAAAAGTACTACGTTATTTTTAATCGATTGAACGTAGAAATTACAATTCTTCCAATAAAATGATACTACTGCCTGAATGAGTAGACACTTAGCAAACAATTATTTAATCGTATTAACTATTTGAAGGTTAGAATGACAATCTTTGATGCTGCTGCTTTTCATTATGTGTTATTCGAACAAAATTGTAACCAACTCTGTGCAGGGGGTCCCACCTAAATATCTTCTTTATTTTTACTGATTATGAGAAATAATTAAATCACAGTTTGAATGGTTTCAGAAATATCGTATTTGAAACAAATTTGTATGATCATTTTTTTCAATTTTTTTTTAGGTCGCCATTATTTTTTTTGCCAAACAACATGTACCTTTTTTATTGCACCATGTAACTCATGTTGAGATGCATTCAAACTTATGACTTTGAGGTGAACTTGAACATTGAAAAGATAATGAAATAATGAAACGACTAATGAAAAAAAGACGTTCACCAACAGCAACTCACCACTAGCAAAGAAAGTGCGGCTATAACGTCAGGAGAGATAGAAACGATTAAAATCACAATCTGTGATTTCTCGTTTATTAGACAGTGTATCGCCATCGATGAACATCACTTTCAGCATTTGTAACATAGAAAGTAAGTTCACATACCATCCTACCGTTATTCCAGAATTGCATTATTTTTTCAATGTTCAAGTTTACCTGAAGGTTATAAGTTAGACATATCTATTAGAATGTACCTTAACACGTACTATATGATGCAACAAAAAAAAAGTATATGCTCCCTGAAAAAAAAATTCCTGTGACCAAAAAAGTTAGCAAAAAATGATCATAAATAAAATGTTTCATATACTATACTCCTCTTCTGAAACCATTTAAACTATGTTTGAAACATTTCTCATATCATTAAAAACCAAGAAGATATTTAGGTGTTCGTTCTTACAATTGGATGGGACACCCTTTGTTTGTTAGTTATACAATAGTTAGATTATACTGTACAGATTAAACTTAACGCTTACACTATACCAAAGTCATAATTGTTCAAAACAGGATTTGTGCTTAAAACAGTATGACTGCTCGTCCTCAGAAGGAGGCTTATCAGCGACCCCTCTACGTCAGATTACGGGTAGCAGAGAAAGCCTGACGAGAATCATACCAGCATCCCCACGGTCTACGAGAGATCGAGTTCCTCCGCGCAGTCCTCCTGGTTCTGCCGAACGAAGTATTAGTTCGAACTTGCCTTACACCAGCTTTCAGAGGTAGATGTTTCGATGGTTCTTTGTCTCGGGTGTAAAATACAGTATTTCCTCAAAAACCTCGAAAAAGTCTGGTCAAGATCGATCGAGGTGCCCGAAGCTTGGAAACCTTTCCAATCAAACAACGACCCTTTTTTACTATTGATTCAGACATTTATCGCGTACTTGCCATCCGGCAGGTATAAAAAACAGGACGTACCGAGATTAAGCAAGATAGAGCACTAAGCAGAGACCTGTTGGACGAACGCTGGAAGTATACGAAACATCTATGTGTTAACAAATACAATATTGAAAGTTAATTATTTTGCCTTATACGTTCATAGAACTTTTACTAATGAATTTGTAACGTTTCTCTGGTCTAGATGAGAACAAATACAACCTTACTCTATACATAATAGCAATATTAGTTAAAATTATCCGAATATCGTCTCATTTTCATAAAAAAAACTTCACCAATTTGTTAGTAAAAGTTTTATTAAAAAGCAATATGAAAATAACAAAAAGTATGCTGAATCAGTTAGGATATAGACGCATTTTATACCAGTTCAAACATTGCTTTAGAGCAATGCCAGAATAAAAAACGATTCCTACAAATGAGAAGGAAAGTAAAAATTTCAGATTTTCAAAGTGATACTGTATTTTACAGTAACAGTAACAGTAATACAGTTTTTCATAATTCAGACATTGTTAATTAGTGCTGAACTCTTTTTTTTTTAAATGTGACAATAAAAATATTGATCCTGTGTTTATCATTGTTCATTTTTCTATCTTTACTAGGGAAAATATTTGTAACGTTCATTGTTGTTAATTTTCGAAGTAATTAGAATTCATCACACTTCTTCCATTTGAAAAAATTCCAACATATTTTACTAATATACTGATATATAGCTGTTCTCACGCGATTTCAAATAATCAATTTATTCATTTATTCTAACAGACAAAATTATCTGGAATTAAAATTATTAAGTCTAGACGATTCGTTCGATAATTATTCGTAGTACCTACACTTTGAACTAATCAGATTTCTCTCTTTTCAATTCTATTTGTGCAGCCTATTATGTGTCGCCAGAGACAAGGATAAGAATGGATCTGGAATGTCAGGTGGATTGGAAGCACCATGGCAAGTGAAAGCGCGAACAACTTCCATAATGTACGAAACTCAGTTAAACTTCGTCGAGTTCGTCGCACTATTTCGCTCATTCAGCCTGAGAGCCCGAAAGGATTTACGCGACCTATTCGGCCAGCTGGCGATCACCTGTCGCAGCCAGAGTGACGGTTCTTTGGGGGACTTCAGTATACGACCGCCAGTGTTACGCCAAGCCAGCGATGCCACACCTCAACGAATCGGTTAGTTTTTACGATATTTTCCAATTCTTATGAACAGAGCTCGACAAATCGCGGCGAATCGTACTCACCAGACAAAGAAACAGGGATAAACTTTCGAAAAGTCCACACCCGATGACCCCGATCTTGACATACGAGTTTGATAATTATGGTAAAAAAGTAAGTTAAACACCGTTTTTTGGAAAAAATCGATTTTATTTTTCAACACAGTCTCCATTCAGGACTATACACTTGGTTTAGCGAGTTTCCAATTTTTTTATCCCGTCGAAAAAAAATATTTGTTAAAGGCTGCAAAATACGTATTAACAGCGGCGATGGCATCCTCATTCGATGAGAATTTTTTTCCACTGAGCCAAATTTTCAAGTTTCGTAATAGGAATAAGAAGTCGGTTGGGGCCAAGTCCGGAGAATAAGGTGGCGGAGGAATCAATTCGAAGCCTATTTCGTGCAATTTTGCCATTGCAACGGACGATTTGTGGGACGGCGCGTTGTCTTGGTGAAAGAACACCTTTTTGTGCCCCAATCTTGGTCGTTTTCGTTTCAGCTCTTCTTTTAAACGGTCCAATAACGTTGCATAGTAGCATCGGAAACTATACCATGGATTTTTTCGACGATATCCGTCTTCGTGACCTCAACTAGACCTCCTGAGCGCGTTTCATCTTCAGTGGATCTTCGGCCACGTTTAAACACATTTATCCAGAAATAAATGGTCCTTAACGCTGGTGCAGAGTTTCCATGGACTTAATCGAGCTCTACTTTGATCTGAACAATCGTTCACTTCTTTAAATAAAAAGTTTTATTATTGCACTCGTTTTTTTTTTTTTTCATTTTTGTGGCAACTGCTACAATGCTCGCCTCAAACGTTTATAAAACGTGAACTACGTGTCATTTCTAGTTGAAATTTGGCCTAAACTAGTTGAAAGAGTGATACTTGGCAGCCGTGACGTCACCAAATAAATTATGGCACCATTTCTGGGAAATTTACCGCTGGGAAAATGGCTGCCATTTAATTATAACTCGTTTCATCAAAATACCATCTGCTGTAGCTGGAATATCTTTGTGGGCTTTTATCTGAAACAAGTTTTGTTAATTCTATAATAAAGTAGACGAAATCAACTAGTACTTGTCCAAGCCCATTTTGAAAATATCAATATTAAACGTGTACTTTCCGATATAAACTTTCAACTTCTTTTGTTATTAAAAAAATACAAAATGCACGAATCAAAAATTCGCTTTGTCAAATACTAGATTTTAGTGTCACGAATATTATCACAAAGTTTGATTTAAATTGGTTCAATATATTTTTAAATATTGCTGGTACCGATTGTGAAAACTGCATTTCGGTACCAGCTTCTGATGATAGATATATCGCTCAATTTTTGAGATATTACTAAGGAAATAACATATAATAGGAAATATATCTTGAATGTTTAATAAACAATAATGCCGTATATACAAACAATTCTTATTTCTCCCCTCAATTAACAGCTGAAAGGTATATAATCCCTTAAGCTATTTATCCTGGCGCCTCTTGCTTACTCATAATTAATTTATTTAGTATTAAAAACGTTAGCAATTGACCATTCAGAAATAATACAAAAGAAATGACAGTCTTGTAATCAGAAAACTATAAGTCAAACTATAATTCAGTCGCACATTAAGCAAAAACACGTTACAAATAAGAACAATATAGTGCATAATGAAAATTTTAGACGACTAGACCAGAGAATGTTTGGGTTTGGTCTGATTGCGATTTAGGGGTGAATGAATAGAGTTGTGTTCTGTTTATGCGTTCGAGTGTTAGGACGATAGATGGCTTTAGACATGCGTGACAACTTTTTTTGGGAGGCTGAAAGGAGAGCATTAAGAAAAGATGGACAGGAGAAGGGTGTATGCGGATGTATTTCTGTGTGAAAGAAGAAGATGTATAGGAAGAGCACGAGTGAAGTTATGAAATGAGGTGCAGAAAGAGATTAGAAAGCTATCAGTGTGGAGAGTACAGAGTTTTATGCAAAACACTTATTCAAAAATGTTCAATAGTGTTAATTTAAATATATTCGTTGTTATTATTAATATCGCAGTACACCTGTTTATATCAAAGAAATCTTGCACAAATTCTAATCCGTAGGAGGGAAAAATAAATTCTTTTCATTTTCTCTGCCTGTAATAAAAATACATATAATAATAATTAAAATGACGATATTAAATATGGAATCAAAGTAAAATGAAACTTCATCGGATTCACCTAATCGTGAAAAATAGTGGGTAGTATGAAAGGCGTCCATAGTTAATAAATCATATTAAAACGATAATGCATTAACTGTGCACTAATAGTACAGTACTTTGAACAAAATTCTTATTGCTCCTTGTCGTTTGATTACCAAATCTGAATGCAAACACTTTTAACTGTCAATTTTTTAAAAGAATTTACGATCTTTTACAATCTTATTCAAAATTTTACAGTTTTGTGTCAGATAAAAAATTAAAGAATTAAACGTAAGAATTAATAGGTGGGTCATTCCACGCGAAATCGGACACCTTTTGGAGCACCATTTTGTTCCAATTTGGATATGTTGTAGTCTTTATCGATATATAAACGTATCTCGAAGGATTTTTGAAAATTTTAAAAATTGCAGATTCTACAGCTGTTTGAAATTTAGGATCAACCTTTTTTCAATAAATCATACTTATTAAACTAACAAACTGATCAAAATGAGCTTTGCCGATACTTACAGTGGAGACATAAGAGCACCAAATAAAAATTATTTCAGTTAAGAAAAGATATTTTTTAACCATCTATTTTGCAATTGTTTTAAATAAATGCCCTGTTTTTATACTGCCGCACTATTGAAAAATTTGAAAAAATGAGAATACAGCCCTATTTGTCCTCTTTATGGACATATCTTCAAAAATGTGGAGACTTTAAAATTGGCGGTATGAAAAATCATTGAAGTTAAGGGAGGAGACTCCTTTAGGGTCAACTCCGAATCGATCGAAGCGCTGATGTAAACAATCGGATGCCAGCGGAAACACAACATCAATATTTGGGACGGCTTGATAATGACATCTAGCGGCAGTACCCACAAATAAATTTTGTTCCCCGTTACCATCAAGCTGGGTGTGTATTTCCTACGCGAAGATACTGTTGCCAGACAGTATCGTCTTTCTGACGCTGTTGCCTCATGTCCCGCATGCAATTCTACCTGTGAGGAGAACGATGGAATAGCTACGGCCTGCGGCTCGTGGCGAGATTTCGATTCTCGCCGAACGTCCAAGGCCAGCGACCGACCCATCGGTGTACAATCTAAACAGACGTAGATGAGATAAGGAATGACGCACGAATGAAAATTTAACCTTTTACAATTTGCAATATATTTTAATGAAAATGTCATGAATGAATTGAAGAAATTCTCCCGATTAAAATGCGTCCTAATTCGAGTGTAATTGGACAATTGTTACTCATACGCAATGTTGCAAATGAAAATGATATACTATTGAAAATAATCCGAATGATGTCGTATTTGGACTCATTTCCAACGACAGAATCTCCTCAGTTCATTCGTGACACTTTAATGAATGTATACTGAAAACTATAAAAGATTAAATTTGCATACATGCGTTTCATTCCTTATCTGTTTACATTGTATTTCGATCGTCAGTCGCTGGCCTCTCGCCCGGCGCTCAACAGCCCATTTATTCCTGTTGGCCAAAGTTAGTCGAAGGAACAGTCCAGCGACAATGTTCTTTAGCTAACGATGAGCTGAGGCAGACAAAAAAGTTTAAAAAGCCGCAAATCGATGTGATTCATATTGCACTATCCAAAATTCTATGCTGCTTATTTATTCACGGTATATTAGTCTAGTCTGTATGTACAAACTAAAATATGATTTGCAATATGAAACTGCCCGCGCGAGAGCGGGTACGACAGCTACTTATCCATAAAATGATTTGAATGTTTATGAGAAGTTAAAGATTAGTCTAGATAATTAAGTTTTAATGATTTAATTGTAATTACGTGTTTCACAATGTACAGGGAAATGTTTGACAAAACACGCACAAAAATAGTACCAGACACTTTTTTCAACTTTTTTATCTTAGCCTATAATGAACATTTGAAATATGCCTCTTGTAGACATATATCTAAGAAAAATAAAAGCGAAGCTGCGATGTTACAGTTTCCTTATTGCCATGACTAAGTATATCAGTACTATCTATGTATATAATATCAATAATACTGCTTAATAACAATAGTGAAATCGAAAGCTGGTTTTATGACCATTCTAGTCGACGTTCAACGAAACAGTATTCCTGTCTCTTCGTTTTCGATCGACACCCGATGGTGACTTTCAGAGTGACCTAGGTCAGGCCACCATTATCGGGCCCAGTCATAACAAAATTCGTCGGTCAAAGCAAAGAAGCTACGAGCACCGAAGTAGTAAAAAATCTTCAGGTTTATAAGTCGAAAGTACGAGTTTTTTAGTTTTGTAACTTATTTGTAACTCTAACTTGTAAGTCTAACCACTTTTAATAGTTTGTAACTTATACCCTGCAATTTTCAGCGTGTATGTATCTTAATTAAGTGTATAACAGGTATTTGTTAAATGTTCACTATAGGATCAGAAAAGAAATGAAAAAAGGACTTCTTAATATTTTTACTATTTTCTACGCTATTCCAACAATTGTAATTTTTTCGAAATAACGGAAACATGTCATCTAATAAGTTAATCCTTCTAGCTTCTCAAAAAAACTCAAGTCGTTTGGTCCAATTTTAAAAAAAAAGTACGTAGTAGAACAGGTGCGGACGCAGCGAAGATGATACGCTAAGTACGCATGCGACAGCAATCAGTTGTTAGTAAAAAATCTATCTCCGCTGGGCGACGAATGAAAGATTGACACAGCGTATGCGATGAATTGTGTTCCTTTTGTGTTCTTTTATGAAATATTTGTGTAAGGATATAACACCTGCGTCAATTATGTCAATAAAAAATAAATAAATATCATTT